ATTTCCTGAAGAAAGAAAAAAAATTTAATGTTAAGAAGCCATGATCCATTCCTTTCATATCACCTGGAATTTTTATTTTATACTTTACTCAACTATCTTTTAGGCTAATTAAGACATTTTTTAAAAATCACAAATCACTATTGGTTTTACATTTAAAAAAGAAACTATCAGAGAAATCAATCAGTTTAGGTGTTCCTAAAACTTCTGCAAGGTCAGAGCCATCTCTCTGAACAGTCCTCTCCTGTGCCCACATCCTTGTCCCCTGACTACTTCCACTCCTGAGCTGCTCCTTCCCGGTGAATTTCCAAGCCTCGAGAAAGGTCGCTGCAAGGCTTCCTGGCTTTCTCCATCCAGGGTGGGTGCCTGAGAGGCCAGGGGCTACTGCCACCCATTCCAACTAGTCAGCGGTACTCCTGGGAGCGGGGGTCACACGGAGTGAGAACGGGGCCTACAGCACCTGGGACCCCTCACCACCAGCCCAACCGTCATAGGAACCCAAACTTCAGAAATATGAAATGTTGTCTTAAAGCCAATGAGATACAGTAACGTTACCGTGTGAGAACTAGAACAAATCACACAAGGGAGAGGCCTGCCCCCAAATATCAGGGAGGGTCTAGGAGGGCAGACCCCGCCTTACCGCGGACAGAGGGAGGACATTCCTGCGGTGCAGGAGGTGAGGAGTAGCCCAGGGCTCAGGCCCGGCCGCGAGAACTTGGCTCAGGACCAGGAGGACTGGCTAGCCCTGTGTCTGTTGTCACCTTTCTGCCCCGCTCACCAACAAAGAGTACGGGGTCCTGGCTCCCTTCCCTCCGGAAAGTGGGCCGGGCGGTAGTGTTTGAGAAGGCTCCTTCAGCTAGGACATCTGGGCCCGGGATGAGCTGTAGGGGGAGGCGGGGGCAGCTCTGGCCCCTGTGCGACCCGGGCCTGGCCCGGCCTTGGGGACAGAGTCTTCTGGTCAGTTGGTTCCCTTCTAGACACGGGAACCCGAGGTGGGATCGAGGATGTCTCTTGGGTTCCTTCTTCGATGCTGTCACTTCTGGGGCAGGGGCTCCCTGGCGTGTAGAAACGAAATCAGGCGGCGGGTCAACCGAGAACAGGGGAGGTGCCTAGTTTCTGCTAAGACCCTGGAGCTCCGGGGAGATTGCCCGGCCGGCGAGGTTCTCACTCCGGCTTCGCAGGCAGCAGTGTCGGCCACTCCCAGCCGGCCTGCTCAGGGCCTCGGTCTCCCGCAGGCACAGCAGGAGAGGACTCCATACCCCGGACTCGGCAGTAGTCAGCGTGGCCGAGGCCCGTGTTTCTTTTCTTCCACCTTATAAATTCCCTCCAGCGACCCTCCAGGAGAGCTCAGAACAGGGGAGGAAGCGCGCCAGGGTAACCTTTATTTTTCAAAAAGTGGAGCGTCAGGGAGGACTGGGACGCCCGCGCCCGGCGGCGCCTGCCACTGTCCCGGCGCTGTCAGTGGAGTCGCAGCCTCCGAGAAGGGCGGCGGGCCCCGGCCCTCCGTCTCCCAAAGCCTCCCGCATGCCGGGCAGAGCCGGACGCCGCCCAACGCTCAGCTCTCCGGATCGCGGGAGCATGTCCAGGCTCCCTCTTCTACCGACCAGGAGATCGACTTGGTCTGGCCCAGAGTGACACGAAGTCGGGACGCGATTCCCCGTCCCCGGCCGGGACCCTCCAGCCAACTCTGCCCCCCGCCCCCCGATTCTCGCGAGACGCCCGAGCCCGCTCCCTCCCTCGGCCGCGGGCCCCGAGGCTCCGCCGCCCGCGCCGGCTCTGCGTTTTCTTTCCCAGGACTTTGGGGCAGAGAAGCGACTTGTGCAGCTGCGGGAGGAGGAGCGGGAGCGCGGGGATCCTCCCTCCCCAAGCCCCGGGCCTGGAGAGGGGAGCGTGGCTGGTGCGGGCGGGGGGGGGGCCTCGACGCTTGGTGGCCGGGGTGCGGTGGCAGGCAGGCCGGGCCCCCGGGAGCTCGGAGCCGGCACGCGCAGTCGGCAGACCGTGTCACCTCGGGGCATAGAATGGGGCCCTTTACCTAGAGTCGCGGCTTCACAGGCTGCGGTCCCCACGCCAAGTCTCCACGTAAGCAGGCAGTCGTCCCCTCTGCGCCTCCGCTCCTCCCGCCAGCGGGCTCAGAGCTTCTGTCCAGTCTCAGTTCCCGCAAGCAAGGAAGCCCCGAGCTGCCTGGACGCGACCAGCGCGCAGCCCGCTCCTCCTCCCCGTCCTCGGGGGCTCGGTCTGCTGTGTGATCGCGCAGTCCCTTGTCCCACCAAGGCACAACGGCGCAGGCAGGGACAAAAACTCCACCCCTCCCACTTCCACCCTCACTGGATTCCGGACCCACTCGTTTGAGGTCCAGCTTTCCCACTGACCCGCCGGTGACCTTGGGACCGTAGTCCCCGCATCAGGTTCCCCATCTGTGTCTGGAGGGGGCTGTATTCACTGAAGTATTGGAGCCCTTATGCTTAGACACCGGAATTGCCGGACCCCTTCTTCCCCCACTGCTTAGAGCCTTGGTCCTATGAGGACCTCTGGGTCCACTCAGTGAGGGGCTGCCTTGGGAAAACGACACAGCCGCACAAGGCAACTAGTTTGCACAAGGTCGCATTCCTCAGATTTAGTAAAACCAGAGAACACTGAACAAACTAACTGGCTCGGTCGAACCCCTTCCTTGCCTCTCTTCAATAGCCCAGGGGGGTTCTACCCCCCCTTCCTGCCACAACTCTGCATAGTTGACAAAGGCATACCTGGAATCATGGTCTCCCAGGCATCCTCTAGGACAGAAGTGAGAACTTCACTTTCCTCTCCTTTGAAAAGGAGAGGATTAAACACAACCCTGTAAGTCACTTGGCTGCTGGGGCCTGGTGCACGAAAGTTGGAGGGTAGCTAGGTTGAGCCAGCCTGGGAGTAACCCCAAGGGCCAGAAAAAATTAGGGGGTGCAGCCATACACTGATGATTCATTCTTTGTAGGTGTCCAGGATTGCTCAGGTTTTCTTGCCCCTCAGGGGATGCAGGCGAGTAGTATGGAAGCTGTTTGCAAGGCTGAATTAAAAGCCCTGAACAGCAAAAGCTGGTTTCCCAGAGACTTGGCAGGGCTGAGGCGCGGAGAATCACTTGCAGCCCTCAGAATGTGCTGGTTTTCTCATCTCCTTGAGGCTGGCGATGCTCGTGGAGGGAAAGTGCAAGCTCAGGTTCCGGGAAGGGATGATCAAGCCGCCATATGAAAAGGAAGCTGTCCCCACGGTAGGTGCGTGCGATAACAGGTCGCTTTCTCATTCTGAAACCAAAGCCTGGAGCCGAGTGTGGATGTTTCTTTCTTTCCTTTCTCTTTGGGCCTTCCAATCCCGGTCCAGCTTGAAATTCTGCGCGGCCAAGATGCTTCGTCTTTCAGCACTTTAACTGGTAAAGCGGCCATCTCTCTGTCTCCATGCCTGGTCACCCCCCCGCAGGAAGAGCAAGGATAGGAACCCACATGCCCTCTGAGCGCAGCTGGGAGAAGGCCACTGAGACCTCGGTGAGGAGGGGGCGCCCGCGGGCACGGGACGCCCAGCCGCGGACCTCGAAGGGACCGCCCTGTGCGGACCGGGCAGTTCTGCGTGCGTCAAGTGTCCTTACTGCCCCGATCTGGAACTCGACTGCCCGGATGCTGCCGAGCTGTATGCCGCGGAAAATGTGCAGACTCTGGGAGCGGGCACCACATGGGCCGGGCAGCCGCTGGTGGCTGGCCTCTGTGCGAACCTAGAGCCCTCGGCTTTCGGTCCGCCTCATAAGGGGCTGGCGAAGACCATGTCAAGGGCCTCACAGCTGGTCCTTCAAGTCCTAGGTGACGGAACCAACCGAGGCGGCTCTGGGCCCCGGGCCACTTCCTGAGCGAGTCCCACGGTGGGCAGCCGGGTCCCGCTCGTGTGGGCGCCCCGGGTGCAGCCAGACTGCTACTGCCGGCGGCGCCGAGGGCTGGGAAAGAAGAGGCACGGAGTTCAGACTGGCCCCTCACACCCAGAGTGGAATCGATCGATTGCCAGGGTCCTGAAGCAACTGTGCCTAGCCGTGCCTAGCCTGGTCCCAGTGGAGCAGGGCACAAGTCGCCTCGACAAGGGTGTGTTAGAAACGACTGAGAGCGCCTTGTTCCCTTACCGTCTCCCCCCGCACCCCCCCCACCCCCGCGGTTTCAGAAGCCGCCACACCAAGCCCCACTGTGTCATAAAATATTTTATTTGAAAAAAAGTCACCGTCTTCGCAAGAGGGGGGTAGGGGACCCAGTGACGTCGGGGACCCAGTCTCTAGGCCTAGCCGCTGGGGTGTCCGAGCGCATCTCGGGCCATGGTGGCCTGCGCCCGCCGTTCCCCAACGCGCGGAAGCGGGTGAGTGCCTAGCGGCGTCCGGGCCAGGAGGGCCGGCCCGAGGAGGGGTGGGGTGCGGGCCAGGAGTCGGGCGTGAACGCGCGTGGGGCGCCCGGCGCCG